ACACCACCTCTACTACCTCCACCACCTCTACTACCTCCACCACCTCTACTACCTCCACCACCTCTACTACCTCCACCACCTCTACTACCTCCACCACCTCTACTACCTCCACCACCTCTACTACCTCCACCACCTCTACTACCTCCACCACCTCTACTACCTCCACCACCTCTACTACCTCCACCACCTCTATCACCACCTCTATTATCACCACCTCCTATTAGTAAAAATATCATGACTTATTATTATGTCATATGTGCGTATAGCGTGAAGCTAATCTTTTCTACCCCTTTTAGTCTTAGTTAGGTATTATAGTGTATAATAGATATAAAACTACTTTTTATACTTAATTTAAACTACCTATAATAAAGTAAACCACCACTTTAAACCTATTTACAGGTATACACGAGGTTAGTTTACACCTATATAGTAAACCCCTAGCGTACCATTCTACAGTAAACAATTTTTTACCGTAGTGTATAGCAGCAGCCTTGCGCGCAAGCTTAGCAGCAGCAGCAGTAGCTTTTACTAGCTCCTGCTACTTAGCCTTGCTCTCTTTAAGGAGCACTAAGACCCTCTACTTCTTATCCTTAAGAAGGTCTTAGCTCTTACCTACTTACTTCCTTACTAGAAAGGATAGCGTAGAATATTAGGCAAGCTTAGGGCTATTAGTTTATTAGTATAAGATCTTACTAAAGTATTATAAAGGAAAAATTCTTATATAGATTATATATATTAGGATATAGCTATACCTAGAGGAGTACTACTAGTACTAAGTCCCCCTACTAGAAGAGTTATAGCACTTACTATTAGACTTATTAAAGAGCGTAGAGTGTAGATAATTTAGATAAGTTTTAGTATAATAAATACTAGGCTCTCTATAATAGGAGGATCTTAGGGTCTCCTTAGGAGCTAGAGAGGGAGCAGGAGCAGGAGTAAGGATAGGGGGTAGGGTCTAGGGAGGAGCGGGAGCTAGAGTTAGAGCTAGAGTAGTAGGAGCTAGAGTAGGAGCGCCCTTCCTTAGCTTTATAATCTTAACTATAGTAGTAGTAGCTATATGCTTAGCTACTACACGCTCTATAATAGCCTTACGCTTAGTAGTAGTACGCTCTTCTTTAGTAGTAGTAGCCTTAGTAATAGTAGCTTTAGTAGCATAGGAGGTAATAAGGGTAGCGTAGGTAGAGCAAGCGTAAGTAGTAGTTTTTAACTTTAACTAAGATATAGGTTAGTAGGGATATAAGTATAGTTTAGATCTTTAGGGTTATATAATCTTATAATTTAAGCTATAGTAAAGATTATAGTTAGGTAGATAAAGTTATAGAGCTTAGTCTAGATAATATCTACGCGCGTAAGCACAGGCTAAATAAGGAAGGCGCGCTAGTTAGTATCTAAAGGGTAAGCTAATTTAACCCTTTAGATATACAACGCTCTAATTAGCCACACTACCTACTAACTATAAGCGCAATAATAACAAAAGATCCACCTATACCTAGGGGGTGTGTTGCAGGAGGGATATTAACTAGATTATAGAGCATCTTAATCTAATTAACCCTAATTAATACCCCTATATAACCCACTATCTAATTAACTGCTAGCTTACTGCTAAGTGCCTAACAAAAAGCAGGAGCTCTAGTAAGGAAGGTTTACTAATTATTTACCTTCTAGTAAGGGTAGCTGAAGCTCTATATATATAAGTACGATCGTAGTAGATATAATCTAATAATCCATCTCCCAAATCATTCCTGACCTTAGTGATCTAAATTTCCACAGAAGGTTTACTAATTATTTACCTTCTGGTAAGGGTAGCTGAAGCTCTATATATATAAGTACGATCGTAGTAGATACAATCCAATGATCCATCTCCCAAATTATTCCTGACCTTAGTGATCCAGATTTCTACAGTGTAACAAGGCTAGGCTAAAAAAAAATAGCTAGCGCTTACTAGATGCCTAGGCTAGACTTGAACAAGGTTCATGGGTTGGCGCTAGGGTCTAGCACTATTATCTAAGGCTGTTTAGCTAAGATATATATATTATACTATGCGAGGATTACTTAGCTTAAGTATTCTCGTGCGTACCTTTTAGACCATGGCCAAGTGGTACAGGCAGGGGAGATGACGTAGTATTCATTTCACAGGCAGGGCGCCTACCTTGTTACACACAGTATCCTATCTCTATATACTAAGTAGGTTATTATACCTTAGGAGGGTTAGGTTTAAACCTTATAGTAGTTAATATATATCTAGGGAGTAGATATCCTACTTATTACTTATACTAGTTATAGGAAAAGTATAATATTCTATATATACTTAGTATTAATAAGGAAGATAACCTTATAGATAATACTATTAAGTAAGCTTAGTAATAAGTAGTTTAAGGCTATATAAATATTACCTAGATTATAGCTATATTTTCTTAATTAATAAATACTATAGTATACTTATATCCTTATAGAGATAGCTAGGGGTAGCTATACCTATATACTCTTAGGCCCTAAGCAGGTAGTAAGCTAGAAATTCTAGGTTATTATAAGAACGCCTTCTTTCTAGGCTAAAGTTAGGTTAGTTACTATTAATAAGTGCTACCTTATATTATAATAGGAACTATTCTAACTTATATTTATATAGCTAGTAGAACTCTATATAATACTTTATAAAGATATTATATAATTTAGTTACTCTAGTATACTAGATATCTAGGTAACTATCGAAGGTCCTACTCTATATAGGGTTCTACCTAGTAGGAATAGGGATATATTATATATTAGTTCTATAGATATTAATTAACTAGCTAGATATTAAGCTTATAATATATCCTATCCTAAGTAGTTAACTAAGGAACCTAGACAAGCTCTTCTATCTTCTAGATAGCGTAACTATAGATAGGTAAGCCTTACCCTCTAATATTCTAAAGATAATTATATTTATTAATGGTCGCAGTATAATTAAAGAGGTAGCAACCTAGGCGTAAAAGATATTAGTATCCCTTACTACAGGTTATACTACTAAATAGTAGTATACTACTAGTAAGGTTAGCACTAGCAAGAGATATATATTTAATATTATTAAAATATATAAAGCTATAAACTTAGATTATAATAAAGACGTAATATATAAGGCTTTCTATAAGGCTAATTTAACTATCTATATAATCTTTATAACTATAGCCCTAGGTATAGGCGTTAATATTATAAATATTATCTAAGTTATTATATATAATATACCTATTATATAGAGTATTACTAATATATAGTAGCGTATTAGTTAAGGGGGGTAAGGTTATAGCTATATTAGTATTATATATATTATATTACTATATTAGTTGTTTAGTATTAGGTTAACTTAACTACCTAAAGAGAAGTTAGATATAGCTAGGCTAAGTAATAGTTGTAAGAAAAACTAGATTTAGCCCTCTCTTTTCTATAGCTATAGCTAGCTGTCGCAGGTCGCAACTCTAGGTAATTAGGATAATGCCCTTAACCTATTATAGCTTGCTAAAGGGATAGACTAGTGTAGGGAAGAAGCTATTAATAGTAGGGGCTAACTAGTATATTAGACTAATACTAAACTTAATCTGCGTAATAAGGTACTACTAGAATTAATCTAGTTAGTAAATAACCATTATTACTATTGTTGAATTTTGGATCACTAAGGTTAGGAATGATTTAGGAGATGGATTATTAGATTATATCTACTACGATCGGACTTATATATATAGAGCTTTAGCTACCCTTACTAGAAGGTAAATAATTAGTAAACCTTCCTTACTAGAGCTCCTGCTTTTTATTAGGCACTTAGTAGTAAGCTAGTAGTTAATTAGATAGTAAGTTATATAAGGGTATTAATTAGGATTAATTAGATTAAGATACTCTATAATCTAGTTAATATCCCTCCTATAACACACCCCCTAGGTATAGGTAGATCTTTAGTTATTATTATAATTGCGCTTATAGTTAGTAGGTAGTGTAGCTAATTAGAGTGTTGTATATCTAAAGGGTTAAATTAGCTTACCCTTTAGATACTAACTAGCGCGCCTTCCTTATTTAGCCTGCGCTTACGCACGTAGATATTATCTAGACTAAGCTTTATAACTCTATCTACCTAACTATAATCTTTACTATAGCTTAAATTATAAGATTATATAACCCTAAAGATCTAAACTATACCTATATCCCTACTAACCTATATCTTAGTTAAAGTTAAAAACTACTACTTACGCTTGCTCTACCTACGCTGCCCTTATTACCTTCTATGCAGCTAAAGCTATAGTTACTAAAGCTACTACTACTAAAGAAAAGCACACTACTACTAAGCGTAAGGCTATTATAGAGCGTGTAGTAGCTAAGTATATAGCTACTACTACTATAGTTAAGATTATAAAGCTAAAGAAGGGTACTCCTACTTTAGCTCCTACTACTTTAGCTCTAACTTTAGCTCCTGCTCCTCCCTAGACCTCGCCCTATACCCCTACTCCTGCTCCTGCTCCCTCTCTAGCTCCTAAGGAGACCCTAAGATCCTCCTATTATAGAGAGCCTAGTATTTATTATACTAAAACTTATCTAAATTATCTATACTTAGCGCTCTTTAATAAGTCTAATAGTAAGTGCTATAACTCTTCTAGTAAGGGGACTTAGTACTAGTAGTGCTCCTCTAGGTATAGCTATATCCTAATATATATAATCTATATAAGAATTTTTTCTTTATAATACTTAGTAAGATCTATACTAATAAACTAATAGCCCTAAGCTTACCTAATATTCTATGCTATC